TTCTTATTTTCTTTCTTTCTTCCTTCCCTCCATCCCTACCACTCTTTCCCTCTCTCCCTTTCCCCTCTCTACCCTGCCTCCCACCACCACATCTTCCAAACTTGCAGGATACTACTATTAGAGCAGAGAAATCAATGTCCCTAGGGGACAAACTTTAACCAATGAGTGATAGGAGGCTGCTGACAAATGGCCTGGCCTCCTATCCTTAAGGTATAGATTTCTATATGTTTCTTAGTGGTACCAGGGGAATTGGACCCCTGCCATTTACAGTTGTTAACTTAGATAATGCATCCTTAGATTGACTATCCTGCCTCACTCTACCCACTCCCTCACTCCTGTTTCTAAAGCTTGGCTCTCAGGTAAACTACCTGTACCCAAGTCCGTCTTGGGCTCTGTTTGGGGTGGGGTTGTAGATCTAAACTAAGACATCAACTATACTTCATATGTGTTCATTTGTCATCATTTATTGAGTGTATATTATAGTACAGACGTTGTCCTAGAAGCTGGAAATATAGCAGCGAATGAAACAGAAGAAAAAAATCTCCAACCCTCATGGAGCTATGAGGGGAGAAATTTACATCCTCAAATTGAGAATATAAATTCCATATAGTCTCATGGGGCTAATATTTATATTTCACCTGTTTCTTCCTGGAGTTGCCGCAAGTTAGACTGCCTCCTTTTTTGATCTGCATCCTACAGATCTTTTAAAAAATTAACATTAAATTTTATTCTGAAGAGTAATACATGCATATCATTGAAAATTTAGAAAACAGGGAGAAAGAAATTTTTCTACCTGTTATGAACAGAAAACAAAAGAAAAGCAATCAGGTAGCCCAATCTATTGGCATCCATCATTATCATGTTAGTTTAATATCTTTGCATGCATTTAAAACTTATTCTAGCTTTAAAATATATTTTAAAACCAATAAAGCTAAATTTACCAATATATTAAAATAAATATATCAAGTACCACCTTGTCATTTTTCTTGTTCAAAATTTTCTTGCCTATTCTAATCTATTTATCTTTTTCAGATGAACTTTGTAATCATTTTGACAATTCAAAAATCACCACCTGGGGATTTTGGTTGATATGCATTAAAATCTATAAATTGAGTATATTTCACATAATAATCAGTCTTCTTACTGAGGAATGAAGGCATAATTTTCCATGTATTATGTCCTTTAGAAAATATTTATATTAACAGCTTATTCCATATAGGTTCCAAGTATTCTTGTTAAAATTCTTCCCAGATGTTTTATATTTTTATTGAGAACTGTTAAAATTGGTTACATAGAAAAGATAATCATCTTATGTTTGTAGCTAAGCAGTTTACTAAGCTCTCTTACCAATTCTAATACTTTTTCAGTCATTCTCTTGAGCATTCCACTTAGATAAAGATAGGTTGGAGAAAGTGAGCCTCCTAACCCTTCTGCCATGTGCGGTGGCTCAGGCCCGTAATCTCAGCTACATAGGAGGCTGTGGCAGGAGGATTGCTTGAAGCCAGGAGTTCGAGACCAGGCTGTGCAGCAGAGCGGACATTCTCCTCCTAACCCATGTCTCTAAAAACAAAACCAAAACTTCCTCCTCCTTCCTCTGTATCCACTCATTATTTTACTTCTTTTGGAAGTTGTGGTGGGCTAATGTGACTGGTCAGAATCTAGGACAGCTGAATGGGCCATATTTATTATTAAACACAACAGCAATTGAAATTGTCTAATGTTTTAGTTTTTAGGTCATACTTATCAGATTTTGGTTATCAGGGTTATGCTAGCTCAAAAGACAAACTGGGGATCTTTTAATTCCTTTTTATAGAACAGTTAAAACAATATGGGTATTTTCTGCTTCTTAAAGGATTCATGTGTAAAATTCATCTGGGTCCAACAAACATCATGGAGGTTGTTCTTGAAATTTTAAAAAAAAGACTTCCTGAGTCATTGTCCAATTCTTATTTTCTACTTCTTGAATCAATTTTGATCATTTCTAGTCTCCAAAAAAATTATCACTTTTATTTAAACATTTTAATGACATTTTAAAATAATTTCACATTTTTCTACCTGTTATGAACTCTTTTTCAATTTCTAATGGAAGATACACTTTTCCCCACAACACAATCTCTGATTTTATCTTTTTACCCAAGATGTGTACGTTTTCCCTGGATATATGATTATTTTATGTAACCACCTCTTAAGTTTGTTAATAATTCTTGTTTTCTTGCTTTGTAATTCGCTCGTATCTGCTTTCACTTTATTTATTCTTTTCTCCCACGTAGACATATTTTGCCAGTTTCCTCCCCTTTTTATTGTAATGATAATTTCCTTCATATTTATTCTTTGGTCTTTAAAAAGGGAAGCATTTATGACAATATAATTTTCTTTGAGTATGGCTTTGACCATATCTCATAAATTTTATAGGTAGAATTTTTATAGTAGTTACTCTCTAAAAGTCTATAACCACAGTGTGCATTTCCTCTTTGATCTAAAGTTTAATTAGAATGATGTTTTAAAATTTCTAAAGTCTTTTTTAATTGAAATATTTATTGTTAAACATCCATTTTCATTGCTTTGTTGACCTACCATCCAGTCTCAGAACGCCTGCCTCTTAGGAAGGTGGGGCTTAGCTGTGTTTTATCTGCTGTCCTCAGTCACCCTGCCTCTGAGCAGTCTTTGATGTCCAATCATGCTCAGCTTGGAATGCTTGGTGTCATGGATTTTTTCATGTGTGTCTTTTCTCTCTGCTTCTCTACATAGTAAAAGCAACTTGAGGACAGAACTCACATTTTATAATTCTCCGTGTTTCCCATAGCATTTAACACCTTAAACATATTAAGTGATCAATAAATATGTGTGTGTATTCCTTTATATTTCAGGGATGGTGAGACGGATACATCAGGCACAGGGATCAAAGCCCTTGCTAAGTGATGATGTGATTAGCTATTTTATTACAATATATCTATGTTATGTATTCTTCTTCTGGTCCTGAAATATCTCATATTAGGGTCATATTGTCCTTTCCTAACAATGATCATGAGCATAGTAATTAATATGATTATTAATACTGACCATTTGCTGAGCACATCTATATTCCAGGCACTGCTTCAGGAACTTTGTAAACCCTATGTCATTTTATAATCCTCATGGTATCTCTCTCAGATGTGACAATTATCCTTATGTCACAGATGAGGAAAATGGAGCTGAAGATCAAGACCATGCTCAGGATCCGTCAGTCGGTGATGAGGAAGCCTGGATTGGATCCCACATCTGTCTGTTCCATTCACTTCTGCTCTACGCCAGTGTCTGTTAATTAATTTCTTCCATTCACCTACTCATCTCTTTTATTCTGTCCCACCTTCACACCACTAAATGTTTGCTGATTTTTGTGTGTGTATCAGATTCAGTACTAAAAGACGGGGAACATAAATGTGACTAAAACATGGCCCCTGCTTTTGGTTAACTTCCAGAGTCTAATGGGGCCTATTCTTTCACATACAGCACATTCTAAAATGTTACAGAATGTACTCATTGTATCCCGGCTTCCCTGCAGTCCTTCAGCTTCTCTGTTCTCTGCTCCCAGGATGTTCAGGTGTTTACCTCAGGGTTAGCCCAAGCTGATCTGGATGCTGGCTGCCAAAACGGGGCTGTGTGAAGTCATTGTATGTTCTTTGTAAGTGCGGAAAGAACCCAGGGTTTTAATAGACTTTCTCCACCCACCCTCAACTTTGTTTCCCTAGGGACAATAACACAAGTTTAAAGCCAAAATCAATTACAACAATGTTATTATTTCTTGTGGAGAAAATTGACATTGCTAACCTGAGATACGAGCCAGGCTCCTGATATTTACACAGAAACCATTCTTGGAGACGGGAAGACAAGCTTCGTGTTTTATATGAGAGAAACAACCAAGGTCTTTGCTTGCCCAGACTGCTCGGTCATTTGGGCTCAGAATGGACTTGGTGAAATCTCTTCCATAAGCTCTTTTCTCCCCCATCTTGGCCACCACGCATGTGGCTCAGGTACACACGAATGCCATAACATCACACGTCTGACACCATGTGCCACCCACAGTGACAGAGATTGGAGTCCACTGGAAACCGCCTCCCTGACCTGAATCTCTCACAGGTTTTTCATTTTGCTAAGACATTTCAGCCATTAGCAGAATCATCCTCCTCAGCAGCAGCATTGCCACTTCCCACGGTTTTCCATACCTTCACTCTGTGTTTTTCTTGCTATCTAAAATTCTAGTAATTATGACTCCTCATCTATTTATAATTTTCCTCCCAATTCAAAATAAAGCAGGCACTGTCTTTTGTTCATTACTGTATCCATATTGCTAGAAGAGTGTCCAACATGTAGTCAGCTCTCCACCTATATTTGTTGAATGATGGAATGAATCATGATGAATCACCGTGACAATCTCTATTGTTTTCATCTTATTCACCATTCTCATCCCAATCTTCTCCAGCTTCTTTATCATAATCATCATCTTTACCATTATGGGGATCCACGTCATCAGCATTTTCTCATGGTTGCTCACACGTCAATGGTGCTTTACGATTCCCATGGTGGCCTCTGGTCATTGCCCCCTCTGACACTCTCAGCTCTCAGCCCTGTTTTCAGGTGAGGCAGGCAACGGAGGAATTATGATTCTCAGTCCATAGATGAGAAAGGTGAGCCCCAAAGAGCTAAATTAACCTGCTCAGGGTCCCAGTTTGGGGCAGGAGCCGGGACCACTGCATTGTTCGTTCCTCTGTCACGGTACTTATGACCCACACTGCCCTGGGCAAGGGATATTTGTAAATAGCTTTTGAAACAAGGTTCTTTCCTTCTTTTTTTCTTACAGCACTTCACATGGTGGCTGGCACATATGTGATAGGCATTTAAGAATATTTATTAAAGGAATCTCTTAGTCCGTTCTTGCAACTGTCACAAAATACCACAGACTGGGTAATTTATAGATAATAAAAAGTTATTTCTCACAGTTTTGGAAGCCAGGACGTCCAAGATCAAGGTGCCAGCAGTTTCGGTGTCTGGTGAGGGCTGCTCTCTGCTTGTTGCTGTGTCTTCACATGGTACAAGGCAGAAGGGAAAAAGCTACCTCCCTGCAGCCCTGTTATAAGGGCACGAACCTCACGCATGCCCTCCTCCCTTTAAAGCCCCACCTGCTAATACAGTCACCTGGGTGGTTAGGCTTCAACATATATGAATTTTTGAGAGACACATTTAAACCACAGCCAGAATCAAACTGCACAAAAATCCCCCCTTGATTTAGCTCTAGCTTCCTCTTCAGTCTTCCCACCCAACAATCTCAGTGTTCTAGCTCTGAGCAGCTGTTTCCATGTCCTGAGCAGTCCTGGCTTTTTGCACTACCTTTTTTGCACACAGATTTGCCTGCCTGGAATACGCTTTCTCATACCCCTCAGCCCCAGTCCCAACCTTACCATTTCATAGAGGCTTTTCAGTATCTCCCGGCTTAAACTGGCCATTGTTCCCTTGGGCGATGACTATATCCTATTAACATATCTTCCACAGCCTCTTTGGAAAATTAATAATGGTGATAGACTCTAAGCCCCTAGAGGGCAGCAAGCATGCCAGTATTGCTTATCATTCTATCCCAGCATCTCCCAGTGACTAGTAGTAGCAGGTAACATTTATTTCAACACACTATCTGCCAGCCAGGTTTATGGATCTATATGTGCTATCTGATTTAATACTCATAACTACCCTATGAAGTAAATGTCATTATTGCCTATGTTCTATAAATGAGAAACTAAGGTTCACTGTCATTAAATAAGAAACTAAAGCCACTCCTCAAAGCCAAAGCATCAGCAAACAAATGAACACATTTAGTTTTGCCACATATAAATCTGTCCTTGAATCCTTAACACCTGGTCAGATACACAAAAAATATTTAGGAAATGTGAATGAAATAAGAAAATCTATATGAAATGATTTCTGATCTCTAACTCATTATGCTCCGTACTTGACTTTCTTGGGACAGGTTTTGCATTTGTCAGGACAGGTATTATATTTAGTATATCTCAAAATTGCTCAAATAGATTGTTAAAATTCTCACCACACACAAAAATAATAAATTGGTGAGGTGATAGATACATTCATTAGCTTGATCGAATCTTTCTATGAAGTTTACATAGATCAAAACATCACATTGTAGCCTATAAATATATATAATTAATATTTGTCAATTAAAAATGAATAAAAAAGAAAATAAAGGGAAACTGGCTTCAATGTTCTTAACAACCCTTTCTGTACCTATTCTGGTGGGAAGATATGGTGGGTGGTATTCTCCACAAGGAAACATGATTAATGTGGCTTTCTTTTCTTAATGCATTTCCTGTCTTTAAAAGGTGGCCCAGCAGCAAGTCCCAATTGCAGGGTTTATGTGCCATTTCCTGTCCCCTCTCCAGGCCACCTTCATAAGAATATAATCTGACTAAGAAGGTGCTATTACTCACACAGGATGCCTCCTTCAACATGCTTAACCAAGTCGTGCAGCCTCTTGGCTAGTTCTTTCTGCAGTGTAGCCTAAGAAAAGTGACCTCTTACCAAATTCCCCAAACCCATAATTTTAACAAAAATGTCATCGAGTCTATGGCACCGTTTTAAAAGTTGTGGAATGAAACAAATGCACACAGGGTTAATTCTTTTCTCCTGACTCCTGGAGAAAATCAAGAAAACTTCAGAAATGTGACCAAAGAGAATGAATTTATCTGTGTTTGTCTTTGCTACTTCCAAATGTGGCCCTTGTCAAAAGACAAGAAGTGACATAATCCTCATGTGAGCATCCTCCCATTCTTCACTAAACTCACTAGGACTATGCAAGCTTTATTTAAAGAAGTGTTAGGAAGCTTTTTGAAATTGTCTAGTCTAATTAGCCACTAATCATGAAGGAATAAATAAATTAACAAAACGAACTTGTATTAAGAGGAGGGTCTATGTCCCGTTTTACAGAAAAGACAGCTGCAGCTCAGGAAGAGTCAGTTATCTGCACATTGCTGTCATGGCCTGGTGGTTTGATGCCTAGATTTTGAAATCCAGACAGTCACGGATCTGCCACTTACCGTGTATGTGACCTTGGGCAGTTATTTAAACTCTCAAAGCTGTGGTTTCCTCATCTGTAAAATGGTGATGATAATGGCATCTGTCTCATAGAATTAGAAACAGAACAGAGCAATTTCTGTCATTTTCAGCTGTCTCGCTAGTGCCTGAAAGGACACTTGACATGGAGAAAATAGTATCTGTGGAACAAATGAATGACTTGCACAGTGCAAGGCATATAGTAAATGCTCAATAGATGTTGGCTAATTATCACTGCTGTCCAGGTGAATGGTAGATGCAGCAGGCAGATGCAAGGCCAGGTCTTTGTGGCTAGGTTGTTCTTCCTAAAAGTTGTCCCTTTCTCTCTCTCTCATTCCTTCCTCTCCTTCCACCAGCCATGACTAATCTTATTGCTGAGTCACTGAAATGACTTTCCAAACAGATTCTGATTGCCTAAAATAAACCCGATCACAAAAACCTTGAAGTTCCCAATGGCAGATAAAAAAAAAATCCAGATTTTGTAACACTCAGAAGCTTTCTTTTTTTCCAGTTCCACTAACTCCTCTAAACTTCTCTCGCACGATTCTTTCATAACAAACTGTACCCAGCAGACTGAGCAACACCGGTGTCCCCGAGTCCTGCCTCATTGCATCCCTCAGTCCTGTCCACCCCAATGCGCGACCCTGTTTCTCAGCCAGACCACACTCTGCCCACTCTCCAAGTCCCGGCCCCATGAAGCCTTCCCTGACCACTACAATCACAGATATATATTTCTTTTCCTGAATTTGGCAGTATTTCAAACTATGCTTCTCATATGGCCTTTTCCTTATTTAAAAGCACATTTATTTGTAACCACATTCCCTATGCTACTTATAGTATTGATTTTCAAACAAGCGTGTCTTACTATGCCTTGGATAGGTACAGGCTAGTGTTAGCTATAGCATTACAATTAAGCAAACTATTTCTCTGTGAACTTCTATTTCCTCTACTATAAAATGAAAATAATAGTAGCTATATTTCTGGGTCGTTGTGAAGGTTACAACAATAAATATAATGCACTCCATAAAGTGCTTTACACATAAAATATGCTCAACAAATAGTAGCTATTCTTGTTGTTCCATGTTTTTTGTTTGCGAAATTCAAGTAAAGTTGAGCAGAGCACGTCCTAAGAATACCAAGTAAATTTTTTTACAGTTTATAAAACCAGCCTTACAGTCTTTTGCCCTCTTATCTTTGGTAGAGCACAGTTTCCTACATATCAGGTGCCCCTAAATTAATGATTCCTCCACTGTTATGTGCAGGACCCAAAGACCACCATGATTTCCTTTATTAATACAGTCTTTCACCCCATCTCCAGCGCTGCCTCCTCATTTCTGTGCTATTCACCGAGGCCGAGGACCAGTGTGCGGAGAAAGCAGATCTGACGTAGCTTCAGGACTGGGGAACCCACCGACACTTTCGCCACAGATGGGGCTTCTGAGGAGAGCCTAGGAGTAGGGATTGGGGTGCAATGGGGCCTGTGAAGGAGCCACGAGGCGTCAAGCAACTAAAACTCCTCTCCTCTCCTCACCTCACCTCATCTTCCTCACCTCACCTCACTCACCTCACCTCACCTCACCTCACCTCACCTCACCTCAGTCACCTCTCCCCATCCCACCTCACCTCCCCTCCCCTCACCTCATCCCACCCCACCCCACCTCACCTCACCTCACCTCACCCCACCTCACTTCACTTCCCGTCGGGGGCACCTCCCACAGGGTCTGTCCAGGCCGTCTCTTCCTTTTTGGTCCTGCCTGTTTTGATAAGATTAGTTTTTATGCTAAGCCGGGAAGCGGAAGTGCTGGGTGATGTCAGGAGGGGCTGGCGCTTGTGCAGTTTCCTACCGTGACCAGCAATGGTGCAGAGAAATCGCCCCCGAGTCGGTTCTGTTCTGTTGAGATTTCTCCCTTCCAGAGGTCAACGGGGAGCAGCTGCAGGGGTGGGCGAGCGACTCTGGCACAGCTCGAACGTTTGAAGAAATCACGGCCTCTCAGGCCTGGCCCCGAGCTTCCGCGCGTCCTCTCCCGTGGAGGACAGGGTGGAACGGGCAGGACCCTGCACCCCCGAGAGTGCACAGACTGCGGCTCGCTTGAGCAGAGCACAGACTCGGGCAATTAACTGTTCAAGAGCTTTATAGCTTCCTCTGCTATGGTCAACAATTAGCATTCTAACTGCAACGCCCTCCTTCCAACCATGGCTTGATAGCTCTGAATTGTGTTTACAACCTCCAGTGGGCCATAAGAGGGAAAATGTGCTTGGCACAGCTAAGCATATTTATATTATATTAATACTAGCAGGAGCAGAGGTTTGGGCTGCGGGATTTACGGTAGGCATCAAGCTTTGGCTGCTTTCTTCCAGTGGAGAAACAACCCTCTTGTGCTCAAGGGATCCTCTGTACGTGAACCTCTTCAAGCCCTGGCTTAAAATGCAGCTTTCTAGGCTTGCACTGCAGAAACTCAGAATTGGATTCTCTGAGGAACTGGCTCCAAGTATCTGGAATTTGACAAACTCCCCAGAAGTAAAGTTTCGGGGTAACTGACATGCCACAAGCTACTGAGGATGGAGTACCCCTGACCTTCCGTGTTGTAAAACCAGGGATTTGTTTTTTCTTCATTACTCATTTACCGGAGGAAATCGACTCCCAGTTTTAATCTGATTTGAAAGAATGCGCGAATTTCTTAAATTGTATCACTTTCGCATTAATTCTTCAACACGTACATTTATTGAGCACTTTCTGTGTGCCAGGAACAATACCAGACGCCTGGCTACAAAGAGTTGGAAGACATGAATTCTGATTCATGAATTGAAGGAACTTTGAGTCTCTTAAGAATTCCAGGAACTTCTAATCTCTTAAGGAAACGCATACATGCAATTAGGTGTTAGAGGAGCTATGAAAGAGGTGAACATGGATAAAATGACCACAGAAAGGAGAGAGTAATCAATTCTGGGGACTGTGGTAGCATAAGAGATATTTTCACATGGAGAAAGTTGTATAGGTGTTCACCAAGCAGATAAAGTGGCAGAAAGTTATTTTCTAAACTGGTGGAGCAAAGACAAAGTCTAAACTAATGAGCCGGGTTGTGGGAACCGACGGCATTTCAGCATACTGGAAGACAGTTATTATAGCTGATGATGGGTGGAGGAGGAGGACAGAGAAAGAAATCCCTGGAATGCAGGTCCTCTCCCACAGGGTGGGGGAGAAGCAAGGTGGACAATGAATACAGGCCCTGTTTGTTCCAGTCTGTGTCATGTCCCCAGCAAGGTTGTGCTCTACTGAAAGTGAATACTGTCCCTGTCCCTTCTGCAGGTTTCTCCCCTTGCTCTGCAGCTGTGTAATCTCAGACACAGGTGTGAGAGGCTGGTCTCCTTCCTGGAGTGGGCTGCTCTTCTGCCTGCCTATGTAGGATACTGCAGATTTTATCATGATTTTATGATGATTTCCCACACTGACAATAGCGTTAATTTTTAAAAGAATGTTATCATTTTAAGCACAATAAAATAGCATGAACTCAGGGAATAGTTTTTATAAGTAATGATTCACAAGTACCTCAAACTCTTCCTTTTTGTTTACTGAGCAATAGTAGTGTTTCTAGAATACTTTTTCTAAAAATGGAAACAATAACTACAAGGATAACCATTCTAACATGAATGTTCTCTAGATTAAAGTGCATTTGTTTCTAAAGTGTCCTTACGGACCCACATTTTGTTGAGCTGGGAGAGTGTTTGTACTTTTATTACCTTGTCAATTAGGAATGGGTAATTCACAGTAACAATAGTAGTTTCTCTTAGAGACCAGGTACAAAATGATTAGGGAAATGAGGCAAGTTCCTATTATCATATAGGGGAAAAGGTGTGGAATTGCCTACTTGAAGGCTGGAAACTAAATGAAGAATGAATGAACTGGACAAATGTGTGGAATTGTCACACCAGTCCTGCAAAAGCTGGGGTTCAACTCTTGGATCCAGCTTACTGTTATTTCTCCAGCTTCCAGGAGGGTCCCTGGTACAGTTTTAACCTTCAGTAAGTATTTCTAGATTAAATGAACAAAGATTAGTTTGGGACTAGACTTGTGGGTAGAATAAAAGCTTGCTTAGATTCTAGATGAAAAAGCCTCTTCTACGATTTTTTACTTTGACCATAGTCTGGAGCAAGGATGGGGTTTATATTGGCACTAGGAGATTAGGCTCTAAGGGATCTCAGAGATACAGTGCAAGCCCCAAGGAAGCCAGGTCAAATCTCAATTTTGAAGGCAATGTCATAACAGAGTAATGATGTGAACCATTTTTCTTCCACTCAGTTTCTTATACACAGATCAACCCTATTGACTATACACAGACTCGTTTTTGTTTGTTTGTTTTTAATTTTTCAATTCATGAACATAGGAAGGTGACCCAGGAGACTTATAGATGGTTCGGTGAAAACTCGTGCCAACTGTTGGAGAAACTATCAAGGCAGCCATCCTGCTGATGGTGAGGTTTGTTAACACGGCCATCTCGTTGTGTGTCATGGACTTATCTGGACTATCTAGCAAAAAGAAAGCTGTCGAACCACTGTTCCTAAACTGAATACGTTTATCTCCTCCTTTTCAGCTATATAGAAATGGGCTGTCTTGAGCCTTTGCCAGTGTGGCCACATTAGTTTGTCCCACCAGACCGGTGACCTCTTCCTCAGTGTGGTTCAATAAGACTATATACTCTTTGAGCAAACACTGCTCTAGGACGTGATTGGGAAATGTTTATTTTTAGGCAAAGTATACCCCTATTCTGCATTCCTCTCTTCAATCCCAGTAGGATTGGTTTGAGCAAGAACATTAAGTATCTGATAATCAGTCCCAAATATCTATTTATTTGATTTCAATTTTGCTGCCTATAGTTGAATTCTTTGCAGGATAAGAATTCCACAGCTGAGAGAAAAGGATAATTTGATATTGATTCTCAGTGTGTGGGAAAATATCCTTAAGACAAAAATGTACATATGCTCAACTAGAACAAAACCCCAGGTAAAAAATACAGTGTTCTCGTTGGGGACAAAAAGGTACAATATTGTCTATTCTCCATTCACTTTTCTTTTCATATCTGAACTTAGACAGAAACTTTGGCCCTGTTTGCCACCTCTCTGATCTAGACTTCCTAATTCATTCTGAACATATAGCCAAATTCATTTTCATAAAGAGTCAGTTTGATCATTTCCACTCTCTCTCCATTCCCTGTGAAACAGAATTCTAACAACTTGGTTCATAGCTAGGCATTGACGATACAGCATCAGTGCCATTGTTACCATTATCTCTAGCACCATTGCCATACACATGCTGAGCATTTAATCCTTGCCAAGCACTGGGATATGTCCTTTCTGTGCCTCATCTCATTTCATCCTTACTGTAACCCAATGAAGAAATGTTGTTATTATCCTTATATTAGAGATGACAAAACTGAGGATTAGAGAGGTTAAGTCACTTATCTAAGGTTATGCAGTTAGTAACCAAGCTGAAACCCAAAGTTCATAGAGTGCTAGCCCAATTTTCTCTTCCAACCGCCTCCCATACACTCTTTTGGGCCACACTTGCTTCCTTATTGCCCTTGAATTGGCCTCAACATTCCCAGCATTGACACTTTTGCCATTATCCGTTACAACCCGGAATATCTACCACTTTTTTTCCCCCAAATCCTATTTCCAAAATTACTTTTTTAAATATTTCAAATCTAATAAAGAAACTAAATTCATGCTTACCCTCATACTAAAAAAAGAACAAGAAATTACAAGGAAAAAAATCTACAGGGCAATATCCTTCATGGATATTGATGTAAAAATGCTCAGCAAAATAGTACCAAATTAAATATAACTATATGAAAAAGGATAACATACCATAGCTAAGTATGATTTACTTGAGGAATGCAATGTTAATTCAGCATTTGAAAATTACTATAAATCATCATAACAAACTAAAGAAGAAATATTATATGATTATATTAATAGATGCAGAAAAAAATTTAAAAAACAGCCTTCAGTTAATGATAAAAACTTTCAGTAACATAAGCCTAGAAGAAAAATTTCTTAAGATTATAAAGGACATCTTTAAAAACCAGCAGTTTAATAGTGAAAGATTGAATGCTTTCTTCTTAGGATCTAAATGAGTCAAGGATGTATACTGTCACCACTCCTTTATAATGTTGTACTAGAGGTTCTAACCAGAACAGTGAGAAACAGAAATTTTTATATATATATATATGTGTGTGTGTATATATATATATATGTATGTATATATATGTGTGTGTGTGTGTATTTATATATATGAGAGAGAGAGAGAGGGGAAGAAATAGATAAATCTGTCTTCTGTCATAGAAGACATGATTATCTGTGTAGAAAATTCCAAGAGATCTACAAAGCCTACTAGAATTAACAAATGCGCTCAGCAAAGTTTCAGAATACAAAGTCAATTGTATGTTTATAATAATGAAAAATTGCAAGTTTAAATTTAGAAAGCAGTGCTATATACAATAGTACACACAAAGCATCAATAAACAAGTAAACCATGAACTACTGAAGTATAAATTTAACAACATATGTATAGGACCTGTTGGATAAAAACTTCAAAATATTACTGAGAGGCATTAAAGACCTAAATTATAGAGAGATACCATGTTCATGGATCAAAATGCGAAATTTGTTAAGATGTTAATTTCCCTGATATTTATTTACACAAATGCTTGTACATGAATGTTTACAGCAGGTTTAATTATAATAGCCAAAATCTGGACGCAATCCAAATATCTAATTTAATCACAATCAGAATTTCAGGATAATTTTTCTAGAAATCAAGCTTTTTCAAAAACATACATCAAAATGCAAAAGACCTGTTATAACCTCAGCAGTTTGTAAATAAAGAAAAAAATTGGAACTCTTATACAACCTCATTTCAACAATTATCCTAAAGCTACAGTTATCAAGACAGTGTAGTATTGGCATAAAATCAGATCTATACATGTAACAAAAGAGAGTGTTCAGAAATAGAACTATACATATATGATCAATTAGTTTTCCACAAAGGAGCCAAGGTGATCTTTTATGCAAGGACCATGATGATCCATGAAA